GTGCGGGGCCTCATGGCACGTGGTGTCCCCAGGTGTGAGCGTTACGGTGTAGTACCCCCCCCTGGCCAGGTGCAGCAGAGTCAGTACCACTACAGCCTGCCCGTGGAGGAGATGGGCAGCCCTGCTGTGCAGCCCCGGGGCAAGGGAAGGAAGTCCTCTAGAGCAGGGCGCAAGCGGCTCCGACAGGGACTGGGGCAAAACCCCGGGCTCCGCCAGGCACGGAGACCTGCGACAGCCCAGCAGCCATGGGGCCCAGGTACCTTGTCCCCTGCGTCTGCCAGGGACAAGGCTGAGCCCACAACCAGGCACGCAGCAGCACAGCGGGGGCTGGAGCCTGGCCCCCCAACAGCAATGACCGTGTTGGAACAGGACCTTGCTGGAGGAAGGCGAGCGCCGGGAGGAGCACAGCAAGGGGCTGGGGGCTCAGCACACCCTGCCTGCACGGCCCGCCCTGAGGATGGCAGCATCAGATCCAGCCCGGCAGCAGAGCGGTGCGGAGCTACCCCTGTGCCTGCTGTGGAGGGGCGCAGGCAGCAGGGTGAGTGGGTGCTGGGGGCAGAGCATGCGCCACAGCTGGGGTGTCCCAAGGCCTCAGCTCGTTGGGGTCATGTGCTGGGGGTGCCGCTAACTGCCCCGCTGCCCTCAGGCCTGGGCAGGGTGTGCAGGTGCTACAAGCGCCTGGATAAATGCGAACACCAGATCGCACCCCACGAGGTGAAGTACCAGCTGCACAACGTGGACACCCGGACACTCTTCCACTGCAACTGCACTCGCAGGTGCGTGTCCAGGAGGAAAAGGCAGGGCTTTTCCCACCATCGCAGGGCACCGTGTGCAGATAGTTTGTGGTCAGACGAGGTGGGTGCTGACTGCTGCCCTCTTGTGCCCACAGGCTGGGGCGGTTCCTGCGCAGGGCAGGGAACCTCAGTGGCATGGAGGTGGCTGTCCTGGCCGACCGCATCAGCACGGACTGCTTTGTTCTGCAGCCACCCACTGACTGCAGCCTGGGCGAGGGGCCGCAGCACAAGTAAGTGCGGAGGGTCAAAGAAACGTGGCCGGTGTGGGGCATCCTGCCCTGCACGGGCAGGAGGGATGCCCTGGTGGGGCTGGGAGCTGGCATTGCAAGCGTTATCCCCTGCTCTGCTGTGCCATGGGCAAGGCTGGGGTGGAAGGCAATGGATGTCGGTGCTGCAGCGGTGCACTGATGCTCACAGCTTTGCTTCTCCGGCAGCTGTATCACAGCAGTCCGGGCTGTGCTAGTACCTGCGCAGCATCTCAGAAAGACCCTGAGACACTGGGGTCCTCCGCATGTCACCTCCAAGGCTGAGCGTCCAGACTGGAAGACACAGGACAGTGGTGGCACCCTCTATGAGCAATGCCTGCGGCTGGCCTTGGAGCAGAAGCTGGGTGCTCAGCACCACGTGGTGCCCCGATGATGTCTGAGAAACACTGCCTCGCATGGGGAAGGAAGACGTGCTGTGCAGCAGCCACGGAGTGGAGCTGCGTGATTTCTGGTCCTTGAGACAAAGGATGGCACTGAGCATGGCTGCTGGCATGAGTGCATGGAGCTGGGGGGGGCCACAGCTGGAGCGGAGGCAGGCAGAGGGACTGAGAAGCCTCTCAAGGAGCTGTGGCTGCAGGGTGGGGGGGGTGGCTGCGGCTGCCATCTGTGAGCATCAAAGCAAGGGGAAAGGATTAAGAGGGCTTGGGAAAGGGGAAACCCATTGTCTTCCTTCCCTGTTGTGCCCTGGGGTAGGGGGGATGCTCTGGGCATTGGATCCCCCAGGCAGGGGGGATGGCAGGGCCTCCCACCCTGGATTTGTGCCCCTTCAGCTGGGGGGCCTGGGCAGCATGGTATGATCCTGTGTCCCCCCTCCCCGGCAGGGTGCAGGGAGGGCTGGGCTCTGTGCTGGCTCCCAGCCCTGGAGGGGCAGGGGGCAGCAGCAGGCCCAGGGCTCTGTCCGTCCCTGTGTGCAGCAGAAGATAAATAAAGGGTGGTCTGAGCATGGTGTGTGGTGCCAGGGCTGAGCCTCCTGCTGTGGCCCCCACCCCAAGGGGCTGATCCTGCCCCCCCCCCGCAGTAAGCACAGTGCAAGCTGGGGTGGGCAGGATGGTTTATTTTGTCGCTTGCACTACGTCCAAGGCTGAGGCACAGTGGTAGCAGCAGGGAAGGAGCAAGCTTCGATCTCAGGGGTACCCTGGGGTTGTCCTCGCTCTATGCCCATCCCCGCCAGAGCCCTGCCCTGGCCTCCTGTCCCACCTCAGGTGCGGGACCAGCACTTCTCCCATAGGACTGAAGAGTCTTGCACTTTGAATTTCGTGAGGAGCTCCCCCCACCACCACACTAGACCAGTCTTGCCCTCCCCTGTGCTGGTTCCTGGGCAGCAGCTCAGGCTGGGGGGGAGCAGGGGGAGGCCCCTACCTGCCAGGCACACAACAGGGGTGAGGAGTCACTGCAATAAAAAAAGGA